TATGTGGCGTTTATAACGTCATGGATTACATAAAGGTCACAGTTACATGACCGTACGGCAATATGAAGCCATCCGCACACATAGTACCTTACCAACTAGAAATTCTAAGACGTGTCCAAACAGATAGAAATTGGTTATTTGTCGAATTTGCAAAATACCAAATGGTAGAAATATACACAGAGCCTAATTATTCCACCTCTATTTTCGTCATCTCTTACAACTGTCAATATGTTTGTCGTTTAACGCCGCAATATTGCAGCTCTATGGGGGTGATCTGTAATGATTGATTAAGGACCAGACAATCCAGTGATTGATATTATGATCAGCCTTGCATGCCGTAGGGCCATGATGACATGTTATCAACCACGTGACACATTCTGACTACCCAATCCACTAAGTAGACTCTAGCAAGCATAGATTGCTGGGACCTATCCTAACCTTCAGTCTAACCGAAATATATTTGGTTTTCAAACTACATAAATAATCTGCTACCAACGATTTCTTTTCACTTTTGAATATTCTCGAGACGTATTATTTTGATTTGGAGAATCCCATTATCCCAGTGTTCGAGAATGTGTCGAGAAAGGATGGACGCCCAATTCGTAGTATACCTGATTAAAATATGCCAACTGACTATTTATCCGTGGTTCGACACGATGGTAACATTCCAATTCCTGCTGGATGGGGTGGTGGTGATTTGGTTATTCAACTCAACAACCTTCTCAAACCAGGGGCGCAACAAGGCGAATTTTAAGAGTAAGCAAAACCAAGGGCCGCTAGTTCCCCAGAAATTTTGAAAAATAAGATGCTCTTAATCGCTATTTGCTGCATTTTGGGACCGTTTATGTCAGATTTTATTTGTAACAAATTTTGGTAATTTATATATTATAATTGTTTATTAGTATTGTGTTGTTTTCGGTGCAAAGAAAATTGTGCTACAATGGTAGTTTCGCCCCTGCACACTAGCTAACCGATGTAATCGTCGCAAATCCATTGAATACTTTGTCGTAACATGAATTTTTAAGACATGTAAACACTGATTTAAAGAACAAGAAACTAACAGACAATGTGTGTTGATATATAGAGCAAAACAGTTAATTGTATAAACGTACCTCCATATCTGACGGTCACAAACATGATTTCACAGAAGCGTCTCTTTCACTTGCCAAATATACTTCTTAAGTGACAATGTAGGCCAGCACAGTAAGTCCTTGAAATAATATTTTCCAAGAAGAATACAATAGGTAAATCCTTCTTCAACAAAGCGCTTCTTATCTTCCTTTTCCAAGAACTTAAAACCCTTATGACTACAACATCTTGTCTCCACGTCGTATATCTATGCTTATTTCACTCTTATCCACTCATGTCCATGAGAAAGGCAGTACCTGCCCTAAGTGAAAATAATATTGATTAACGAAGTGACAAAGGGATATCGTGTTTGGTACACATTCCGCAAGGTGTTACAGTATCGGATCCCCTGTCGCACACTCAAGGAATAACCCTGGTGTAACCCACCTCATTGCCTGATTGCACACCTTGAGAAATGGAATTACTGTGGTGTTTGGGCG